CTTGCCTGCCTCCCACACCGAGCTACAGGTGTCATCCCGCAGTGCAGCAAGTGCCCCATCAGAAGCACAGAATCGCAGGAAGGTCCGGTGCAATGTCGTTCACACCCAGAAAACGGGTCCCGGGCTATTTACTGTTCCCAGCTCTTCCCTTCTCCCATCTCTCACCGCAGGCCTGTTTCCTAACCGTGTCTCAGACAGAGTGTCCTGAAGGTGTCTCTGGACCAGAGCCCAGGCTGGCCCAGCAGAGGCGTGGGGGGCGGTGCAGAGCAGCCTCACGCTTCCCCTGCTGCTCGGTGGGAGGTTTGGCCCACCATCTGCAGCCCTCCTGGGTCCAGTCTGGACTCTCCAGGCCTAAGAACACGCAAGAACAACCAGTGTTTGTCCCAGCTGGTCAGCTCACACTCATCACGCCCAGCTTGCAGGGGGATGGCTCAGGGAAAGGGGCAGGATTGTAGAATTTGTACCAGGCCATATCAAGGGCCTTCTCCAGCTATAGACGCCCACGTGCTCACGCAGCAAACGCTGAGAGGCAGGAAGCTCAGTGGATCCTGAAGCCAGACTCTTGATTTCGAATAATGGTCCTGCCATGTTAAGAGCTGTGTGACCTTAGGTCAGTCCTTTCACCTCCGTTTTCCCACCTGTAAAATGAGGTCATGGCCACACCAGCCTCATAGGGGTGTGAGATTTTAAAGTTGATATGTGTCAGGCCTGGCTGCCATTTTTCACTTCCTGAGCACCACCCACACTCCAGACAGGTAGAGGTCAGAGTCAGTACGCTTTTTCTGTAAGGTCCACATAATAAATATTTTCAGCATTGTGGGCTTTCATGTCTCTGTCACAACTGCTTCAGTTCTGCTGTTGTGGCCCAAAAGCAGCCATAGACAATGTACAAATGCATGAATGTTCTAATAAAGCCTCATTTGGGACACAGAAATTTGAATTTCATCTAAATCATATGTCACTAAATATTATTATTCTTTTCTTTTCTTTTTTTTAATTAAAATGTAGAAACTACGCTTCGCTGTCAAGCTATATAAAGATGGGAGGTGGGCTGGATTTGGCCAGTGTGTCCGGACACAGGAGCCCGCCTTGCAGCCAGAGCCTCCCGAATCTGGGAAGCAGGGGCCCCTTCATTGCCCTCGTGCTGCTCTGACCCCACCAAGGTCTGTGGCCTCGTCTTAAAAGCCCCTCTTGAAAAGGGTGGTGTATTCAGACTCCAGTCAGGCCAAGGATAAGAGACGGTGACTCGGTACCAAGCCCTGGCACTTCCTGCTCTAACTCCTCTGACAGCCCTGCCCCAGCTGGAGGGGTGCTGCCCTGGGCAGGACCTGCCCTGAGGATGAGCCTGGAGTGCAGAGGTTACCTGGTCGGGCTGAAGCATGCAAACCTGTCCTTCCTTTCGGAGAGGAAAAGCCAGAGCAGGCGGGCTGACGGGAGAGTTCCTGGACCAGAAGCCGCCCCATTTGCTTGTTCAGCCACCCTGCGCTTCTGTCCAGCGAGCTTCACCTGGGGACACCTGCCTGCCAGACCCTCGGCACTCACAGCAGTCTGCCTCCCTTGGTTCCCAGCCTCGCCTCTCCCTGCCCCAATGTCTGCACCTGCCACTGAGCGACCTTCCAGAGTGACACTTTCGTAACAGCACCCCCTTCAAGGCACCATGAGGACCCCAGATTTCCCCCCGAAATCTAAATCCTTCTGCTTGGCTTCTAAGGGCCTCACTCACAGGCCCAGACTGACCCCCTCTCAACCCACATGGGCAGCTCTTGTGACGCCCCCACCCTGTGCCATCCTCTGCACCTAAGTGACCCACTCCCTCCCTCTGCCGCACCTGGCCACGTACAGCCTTGACCCTTATGAAGAGACCTGCAGTGGGGTCATAGAGGAGCAATTTAATGGTGCCTCAGTTTCCCTGCCTGTAAAATGGGGAATTAGAACACCCCCTGGTGGGGCTGCTGAGGTTTAACGAGATCACACACATCACGCACTCCCTGAGCGGTGCCAGGGGCCCCATCGGAAAGGCATAGTCATAGCAGCAGCCTGTCGCCTCCTGAGTGCTATCACCACTTCCCTCTTCCAATCTTTAAATTTACCATTAGAATTACACAATTACCACGAAACGTTTCCTTGGTGGGTGTCTTCTCCATTGAGGCCCTGGGCTCCGAGGAGCCTCTAGGGCTCCATGGCCCTGGCCTGGACTGTCATATTCTTCTAGTTCATCGACTGAAACACTGCCCCGCACTCCCAAGCCCTTTCTTCTGCAAGGGGCCCCAGGGGGGGACTGAAGGCCCGGCATCTCCTAACAGGCCCCCAGAGCATTCTCTCACCAGGGTCTGCCTGGGCTTGCTCAATGTCTTATGTGAAGTAACAACACAGAAGGTGCTTTCAATAAAATGACCCTCCGGGCTGCGGCGTGGGTTCTGAGTGGGCAGGGGCATGCCAGCTGCGGGGCTGACCTCCGCCGCACCCTGGCTGCGGCCCGAGGAAGAGGCCTTCCAGGAGAGCCCCACAGTCCACAGCACGGCGGGCACTGCCCTTGTTTCCACGAGCTCCAAGCATCCAGGCTCCCTACCCAGCACCCCCAAAGGTGTGGCCAAAGGTCAATGCACTCCAAAGAAGAGACAGGTATATAAGGGCCAGCAGAGCAGCCAGACGCCAGAAGGCAAGCAGGGACTCCGCCAGGCCACGCTGTGAGTAGCCACGGAAGACAGGGGTGCGGGAGGCGGGGAACAAGAGCCCCGTGCAGATGATGGTGCCCTGACCAGCTCCTAAGTCCTTCTGCCACCTTCAGATACTTAGCTGGGTTTCAGACTGAGTGTCTCAAGCTGATCTCAGGTAGAGAGTTAAAGGCGCACATGGTGAGCAGGAGCAGGGCTGGCCTGGCGGGTGGAG